GGAAATGCTGAAAGGAGGCGGGAGCATTACACAGTCCATAGGGCATGACCAGGTATTCGTAGTGACCATAGCTTGACCGAAACACTGTTTTCCACTCATCTCCCTCACGAACACGGAGCAAATTATAAGCACCCCTTAAGTCCAGCTTGGTGTATATTTGTGCTGTCTGAAGATGTTCAATAAGCTCTGGAATAAGTGGTAGGGGGTACTTATTTTTTATGGTGATGTGATTGGGGCCCCTATAGGGTTCTGTCCTTTTTTCCAACAAAGAAAATCCTGGCTCCCGTGGGGGAAATGGAGGGCCTGATGAAAACTTTTTTCAGATTTCCTTGTATATGCTCTTTAAGGATTAGTATTTATTTTTCAGATAGAGGGTAGATTCTACAAAATGGAATAGGAGCTCCTGGCAGTAAATCAATAGGACAGTCTTATTTTCTGTGAGGAAGCAAGGTTTCTACTCCCTTTTTATCAAATACATCTTGCTATACATGATAGACCTCGGGGAGGATGACTTCTTGTCCCTTTTCCATGTTCTTCTCTAGTATCGAGTGTACGAATCCTTTGTTGTTGTATTTTCCAGGCAGAGTTGAGTGCACCATGGTGAAGAGAACGTCATGGATCCCGCAGGTAAGTGCGGCCGTGACAGTAGTTGTAGTTTCAGTGCATGCAGATTGCTACATGTATACTTTATGTTTCAAAGCGCATGCTAAGACTATGTGCCCCAATCGGTACAAAAGAATGACTAACCAAAATAAACGATAACTTATTCGAAATCAACTTTTTAGACTTAACTTTTTTTGTAAAAAATGGGCAGATACAAAATATAAAACCTTCTTCAAACCAACAGATAGTAATAGTTTTATTGAGTTTTCCAGTTGCCACAACCCTAATTGGCTTAAAAACATTCCTAAAGGATAACAAATTAGACTATATAGGAACTGTACTGAGAAAAATTATTATAAACATCAGCTACAGACAGAAAATTAAAATATAGACATTACCCTATGGATCTCTTAGAAAGATCCCCAAAACAAGTGGAAAAGTGCAATAGGAAAGATCTTTTTAAAAGAAAAGAAACAAAATCAGGGAATAAAGATTTTAATACTGCTTTTATAACATAATATAATAGTAAGGCCCACTTGACTGAGAAGACAATTAAGAAATATTGGCCAATTTTAATTCAAGATGAATTTTTTAAAAACCATTTTATCCAATAAACCATGTATAATTTATAGAAAAACTGAAAATGTAAAATTGATTCTAGCCCCCAGTGTTTTACCAGAACTAAAGAACAAAAAAAGATCTGAAAATAGTTTTTTAAGAGAAGAACCTAAAGGTTTTTACAAATGCGGCAGATGCAGCACTTGTAAATTCCAATCATATAAAACACTAGATTTTAAGAGTAACATCACGGGGGAGTCTTTTAAAATAAAGCAGCTTATAAACTGTCAAAGTAAATATGTAGTCTATTTGCTACAATGTAAATGCGGCATACAATATATACGCGCTATACGTAAACTGCACATACGGTTATTGGAACATTTTAGTGGAATTAGGAAGAAAAATATAAAACATAGCGTACCAAGACATTGTAATAGTTGTAAAGAATTTAAATTTGAAAATTTCAGCTGTATCGGTATTCATTTGTTTAGCCCCCATTGGAGAGGAGGCGATATTGAAAAACGTTTAGCCATGAAAGAAACTGAATGGATTTACAAACCTAAAACCTCAGTTCCTGACGGCCTAAACACAGATTTAGATATTTTCTAATTTTTATTATTTTTTTTAAATTCTTTATTTTTCATGTGCAAAAGGTGACATTCAGGCTCGGTAAGCCACAATAGCTGTATCAAGTGCACAAATAACTTTAAACGTAGGTCAACAATATGGCTTCATGTATACTGCACATTTTATATTTTTAGTTAACGTTGGGCCTAAAGCAGTGTGCAATCGTGGTTCATGAAGTAGATGATGATTTTGCTGTATAGTAGCATGTGTGCTCGTTTTGTCCTTGGCTTGTGTCTTAGTTGCTTGTCTATGGAGAATTGGACTATCTATGGGCTTATTGTGCTTGGTCCACCCATGTGCATTATGCGTGGGATACATGTAAGAGAGGGACAGATTGTGTGTGTTACTGTCCCCTGTAACTCTGGGGATGGGGTGTGTGTGTGTGTGTGAGAGGATAGGCTCTCTATGGCCTGGTTTCTACGTGGGGGCTATGTGATTGCGGGTATGTCTGATATATAGTGGGACTGCGTGTTGTGCCCTGCTATTGCGTATTGAAGGCTAGAGGTGCCTAATGTGTTGGTTTCCCCGCAGTCTCAATCAGCGTGTCTAACATGAGCATAAACAAAAAATAACATGTAATAACAATAGTGGAAGACAGGTAACTTGTGCAGTACTGTAGTCTGGGTCCTTAATTGCTTGGTCATATTTTCTGCCTCAACATATGATTACGGGGCTAAGTATAGTCACCGTGCAATATTCCAGCAATCACCGCTGGGTCTTGTCTGCAGCTAGTGGAGGTTGGCGCGGGCTGTTGCTTGATGGACTGTAAGTCCCGGTTTTGGGAGTGTTGCCAGCTTCTGGCCTTTGCAGTAATTCTCAGTCCCAAGGTGGGGGTGAAGTGGGGTCTAGGGACCATCTTGTTGTTGGGGTTTCTGTGGAGGTGGTTGAAGAGAGGCGAGGTAGTTCATGGCGTTTCTGGGTGTGAAGCTTATGTGGGAAAAAATGCTTGGCCTCGTCATTTTAAATTCAGGTGGTGGGAGCTTTGGTCTGAGCTTTACCTCCTCCCTGTGGGATAAATCGGGTGATCCTTGCCGGATCCTAGCGGTGTGGTGCCTTGGGGTTCCTGGAGCTTCCCCTTCTCGTAATTCCGCCGGTGGCAGTCCCAGTGTGTGCAGTATTGCTTTCGCCCCTTGGAGGTCGGAGGCAAGGTGAGTTGCGTCCTTAAGTAGAATCTGCAGTGTGCGTTGTGGTCGCCAGTGGTACTTAATTTGCTGCGTTTGCAGCAGAGCGGTGAATGGTTGCAGGGACTTGCGCCATTGCAAGGTAGCTCCCGATAGGTCTGCATAGAAAGTTAAGTCCATATTTTCGAATCGGTAGGTCACAGATTCTTTCAGGGCCGCGAGGAGCGCCATTTTGTCTGCTGCGTTTCTGAATTTCACCACTAGGTCTCGGGGTGTTGTTTCTGGCGCTCTCCGGGGCTTGGGGATCCAGAAGGCCACCTCAATGCCATTGTTTTTGGCTTGTTTAGAGGGCAACAGTGTTCCCACTGGCCTTCTCAGGAAGTGTGGGAGTTCTTCTGCGGGGATTTCCTCTGTAACTCTGCGCTCCTTCAGATTGTTCCGGCGCCTAGAGTCTTCCAGTGCTGCAAAGCGGTGTCCCGTTTTGGCCTATTGTTGTTTAAGGGTTTGTATTTCTTTCCTGAGCTCCCCAGCTCTTGTGAGTGTCGTGTGGAGGTTAGTTCTTCTGCTTCAATGTGGCCCACTAGGTCCGCGAGGTCTGCTCGTATTTGCGCTACATCCGCCTGTAGGGCCTTCTGTAGGTCCCCCAGCATGGTTTTCAGCATTAACGCTGTCACCGGTCCCGTGTCATCCGGGTTCTTGTTCGGCTGTGGTGGCCTCACAAGGAGTGAGCTACTGTTGGCTTCCTCTGGGTAGAAGTCCCCCGAGTATTCATCCAGCTCGGCGGCCATTTTGGGTCCTTATGTGCCTTGTGCCAGGCGGAATAAATCGCCTATAGTGGCCCCTGTTTTGTGTCGGTCTGATTTCTGTTTTTTAGTTTTTCTTCCCATATTGGTTGTGGGTGGATAGGTCTTTCAGATATTTTGGTTTTTATGGACTTATTCCAGTAGAATGTAATTTTTTTTATTTTTCACATTTTTATCATGTATTTTTCTGTATCTTCTATTTTTGACATTTTTTTCCACTATTCTGAATGATAATGGTTTATTTATTTGTAATAAGATTAGTGTTGTCGCATTACCTGTTACTAACTTTTTCTCTTTGCTTCTTTTTATGAACGCTGGTTTTGCTACAAATGCTGTGATCATTTTAACTTGTAATTTTTTATATATAATAATTTTATAATATACATTAACAATTTTATTATATCGAATTGCAATTTATAGATTTCTATGTATTTTTATATACTTTTTACGTATTTTGTATTTATATATCCTCCTGATTATCTATATATCTTTTTTGGCTTTGCTACTCATTTAAGGTGATCGATTTAAATATGTATGTTTTTAATATAAGGTATCTTTTGTACATATATGTATTTGACTATGTAGTACGTTGGATTCACATATCAATATCTTGCATGCATTCATTTCTTCTATAAGTATTCTCTTTTTTATATATTCCTCGCAATACAAACTGAATGGCCTTATAACCTGCTGTTTTTTTACACATATTTGCTGTGTGTACGCAATGTATGATATCATTGGGTCACGTATCGGCTTTTTTAATAGAAGTCCGGGTGTTGTCCCAAATGTTTATACCTATAAAGTTTGCCTGCGTGCCATTAAGGAACGCACATGCGCGGCTAACGCCGACGGGTGTGATGTCATCACATTGGTGCACCGTCGCGCATGCGCAGACACAATGAAGGGACGCAACCCGGCATATTTAAACGCCGATTTTAGAAGATTAGATCAAGCTCCTGACGACATCTGAAGATAAAGAGACGGAACGCATTGAGCAGACCCTTACCCCGAAAGGTGTTTTCAGTATCTGGTGGTGAAACTTGTGGACTTACACAGACCATCACTACAGACTGCTATACCTGGGGATCCAGCCTATTTGAGGCAACAGCTTTTTGTGCACATATTGAATGCTTTCAATTGTGCCACATCGTTTGTGAGTGTGTTTTGTTTTTGTGTTTCTCTATTTCCTTTCTGTCTCTTTCTTCCCCCTTCTATTTACCAAAAGAAGTCAGAGGGGGCCGGCCGCTTTCCACGCTGGTGTCGCCGCCTTGCTGGTCCAGGGGCACACTCACAAATGCTGACATAGGAGGACTGAAGGAGGGAGTGTGTCTCTCTATCATGCTCCCTCGTGGTTCCCACAATTCCCAGCACAGTGAGGGAGCATGATAGAGAGAAATGCTCCCTCCTTCAGTCCTCCTATGCTGACAGCTCACTGCTGTCAGCATTAGTGAGTGTGCCGCCGGACTGGCTAGGTGGCCACCTGGCCCGGCGGCACCAGCGTGGAATGCAGCCGGCCCCCTCAGAGTGTGCCACTGGACCGGCGACCCGTGGCACCTACATGAGCAGCCCCCAGGTACCGCAGCCCACTGGGAAATTTCCCGGTATCCCGGTGGGTAAGTCCGGCCCTGGCAGAGATAAAGCACAAGAGACTAAATTATTCCTTCCTGTTAGCCTCCAATGTGGCCATTTAACATAATACTTGCTCCTTTTGATTGAGATCTTGTCTGTTACTTTATAAATATTCCTTTTTCTAGAAGCAATTGTTCCTTTCAGCAGATGGGAACTACTTCTTGCTGTATACATTTTACAAACCTTAAATCCTTCTTTGGCAACCCAAGTTGAAGGTGACTGTAGAGAGTTTTACTGAATTTGTAGTGCTGCAGCTTATTTCCTCCTCAAATTGCCCTAAAGTGCTAGGTTTTCCTTGGATAAAGAAGGAAAGTCGTTGGGGATGACTGGTAAGCATCTCAGATGAACGTCTGGAATTCTTTGTATCAGGATTGCTATCTTCTCGAATTACAATGTCTCTAAATCCCATTCCAACTTCAAAACTGCGTACAAGAAGAAAGAGATTCACAAGCTTGATCTACCTTTCAATATAATTTATTTCTGCTGCCATGCTATAATGATCCTGTTTTTGTATGTTTGAATACAATGTTTGAAACCAATGTAGCAGCACTAGAGGCAGTTCTGCTGTCATAAACAGAATAAGAAGAATTTAAATGCAAATGAGCTCTATTCTGTATTTTAAACCAAATGGCACAGAGCCGTGATCTAAAATACATGAATGATACTTAAAAAAACAAAAATAAGAAAACAAAACTGTATTAATTGTGGACTCAAATACTCTTAGTCATAGATTTATGAATGTTTGTCTGAAGCCAAAATGTACTGGGTATGATGGGATTTAAAAAAAATAATGTTTTGTATTTCTTTATATGCATTGGCAATAAAACATTTAAACTGATAAAGAATTGCTCCTTCAAATATAGAAGAAGAAAAAGGAAACCGGCTGGGAAGACAAGCTGATATTGTTGGAGAATTGACAGGGGAATGTCAGGTTTTGGGCAAAAACTACAAAATTGGAACATAAATTGGTTGGGTAAAATTTTCCTTTTAATTTTCTGGTGCTAAAATTTACAATGTTCATGTCAGTTCTGTAAAGTTGGTATACTGACAGTGGCTAGGCACAGCCAGGGCCGTCTTTAACGCGGGGCAAACGGGGCAGCTGCCCCGGGCCCAGTTGCTCCTGGGGGGCCCAGAGCAGCTGCTCTGTGGGCCCCGCGATTTGCGCAGCCCCTATGGGCCGGGCGGTGCGGCTCCCGCACACTGAGGAGGCTCCCCGGGTGGCCCATGCACTAAGGGCCACCCGGGGAGCATGTGTCAGCAGGGGCCCGGTCGGGCGCTGTGGCGCTTAAACAGCGCGACCGGGCCCCTCTTCCGGTTCTGCAGCCGGCTGGGAGGAAGTGACGTCACTTCCTCCCACCGGAGATAATGGCCGCGCGGGAGGAGGAAGGCAGGGAGGAGGGGAGTTCCAGAGGAGAACTCCCATCTGCCTCAGCCTGCCACTGGACCAGGGAAACCACCCTCCAGGAAAAGGTAAGAACCTGGAGGGTGGCTAAATGTATGTCAGTAGTATGTCTGTCTGTGTATGTGTCAGTATGTCTGTGTGTGTGTGTCAGTGTGTGTGTGTGTGTCAGTATGTCTGTGTCTGTGTCTGTGTGTATGTGTGTGTATGTGTCAGTATGTCTGTGTGTGTGTGTGTGTGTCAGTATGTCTGTGTGTGTGTCAGTATGTCTGTGTGTGTGTATGTAGGTATGTCTCTGTGTGTGTGTGTGTATGTGTGTGTCAGTATGTCTGCCAGGATATATTTGTGTGTCAGTGTATGTGTGTGTCAGTATGTATCTGTGAATGTTTTAATGTCTGTCTGTGTGTATGTGCCAGTATGTCAGTATGTCTGTCTGTGTGTGTCAGTATGTCTGTGTGTGTATGTAAGTATGTCTGTGTGTGTATGTGTGTGTCAGTCAGTATGTCTGTCAGTGTATGTGTCTGTGTGTGTATGTATGTATGTCTGTGTGTGTGTCAGTATGTCTGCCAGGATATATTTGTATGTCAGTGTATGTGTGTGTCAGTATATATCTGTGAATGTTTAATGTCTGTCTGTATCAGCCATTACGTCTGTCTGTGTATATGTCAGTATGCCTGTGTGTGTGTGTCAGTGTGTATGTCAGTATGCCTGTGTGTGTGTGTCAATGTGTCTGTCAGTGTATGTGTCTGTGTGTTTTAGTATATCTGTCAGTGTATGTGTCTGTGTGTTTTAGTATATCTGTCAGTGTATGTGTTTGTGTGTGTGTCAGTATATCTGTTAATGTATGTGTCTGTGTATGTATGTATGTATGTCTGTGTGTGTGTCAGTATATCTGCCAGTATATATTTGTGTGTAGTGACTGTGTATGTCAGTATGTATCTGTGAATGTTTTAATGTCTGTCTGTGTGTGTATGTGCCAGTACGTCTGTCAGTGTGATTGCGGGTTGGACGTAATTGGGGGGTGAGGCAGTGGCAGGGACAGGGCCCATGGGGCCCAAGAAAATGCATTGCCCAGGGTCCTAATCATATTATAGACGGCCCTGGGCACAGCAGTAACCAAACAGACTCTCCAGTCTCACCCTAGGAACAATTACTCAAACAGGCTGTATAAATATGTTGTGTCAATTAACAAGAAAGGTAGTAGGGAGGAGCCGGGCAACTATAGGCCAGTAAGACTTACTTCAGTAGTGGGGAAAGTAATGGAAACCAATGTTAAAGGATAGGATTGTTGAACATATAAAGTCACATAGATTTCAAGATCAGAGTCAACATGGGTTTACTTCAGGGAGATCATGCCAAGCTTACCCAGATTTCAGTAAGGCTTTTAACACTGTCACACATAGAAGACTTACCAATACACTGCAATCTTTGTGTTTAGATCCCAATATTGTTGAACGGGTTAGACAGTGGCTGAGTAACAGGCAATAGAGGATTGTAGTCACTAGAGTATTTTCTAAGCAAGATCTTGTTACCAGTGTGGCACCTCAGGGATCTGTACTTGAACCCATTCTCTTCAATATTTTTATAAGTGACGTAGCAGAAGGTCTTGATGGTAAGATATGTCTTTTTGCTGATGATACTAAGATATGTAAAAGGGTTGATGTTCCAGGAGGGATAAGCAAAATGGCAAGTGATTTAAGTAAACTAGAAAAATGGTCAGAGCTGTAGCAACTGACATTTAATGTGGATAAGTACAAGATAATGTATCTTGGGTGTAAAACCCAAGGGCACCGTATAGAATATTTGATACAGTCCTAACCTCAACATCTGAGGAAAGGGATTTAGGGGTAATATTTTGCATTACTTTCTTTACATAAAACTCCAGCAGCAAGTATTCACTTAAAGATAAACCAATCAAGACTGAGAAACACAGGATATATAAGGCTGAGTCCGCCCATATTGCTCCTCTTTCTTTGCTGCTCCAGCAGGATACATGTCAGAGTATTTGCTCCTGCTGTTTGTTTGTTTTTTACTTTAGCTGTTTATTGTATTTCTGTTGTATCCCTCTGGCTCTTGTCGGTATTATTATTATTTCCAGATACTGTTCCTCCACCTGTCTTCACTCCTTGCCTGGCTCTCTCTGCTCTGTTTCGGGTCTATTGCTGGGTTGTTATTCTGCCTTCCACATGCTGCGACCGGTGTTGCCACAATCGCAACACTTTGATCTCTCTGCTCTCCCCTCTTGGCAGGCCAGGCTGGGGGGTACTCTCCATTTGAGGTAGGGGAGCTTGTGACCTATCTACTGTTTACCGGGACCCGCAAGAGTTGTTCCTGGCAGGTCCGCGCGCCTGCGGAGGCCATCTTGAATCTCGCAAGATTCACGGTGGCCATCTTGGATATTGTTACAGGCCGTGCTGCTGACGCCTGTCCTTACCTGTAGCTGGATTGGGGCTGTCTCCGGTTCTGTGGACTCCACACTCCTTCTGCTTGTCCCTAGGAACATTCTGCTTTCTCAGAATTCTGCAGGAGTCTCAGGTGCTTAATCTCACTGCTGTGTTTTTTTTGCTTACTGCCACATGTGCTGCTGTGATTGCCTTTTACATTGCTATACTGCTCAGTCAGTAATAAATACATAAGCCTACCATACTTGTAATAGAGGGTACGAAGACTTGTGAAGGTTGGATGATGTTACTGTACCATTGCTGTGGCCTGTCAGTGCAGACTGTGTATAATAACTGCGTGCAGGGGTGAGCCCCCTGCGATACTATTGGGGTGAGCCCCCATATACTCTCCCGACTACCTTAACCAGGGCTTCTGTGCCATATGGGACTTGACAGGGGTAATTCCACAGATTAGTGGTACCTCTCTCCACGCATATATTACAGGGTGAGCCTGGCGAATCAGGGGTTTTCTCCTTTGGCTTTTGGAGACTCTCAACGCCTCCCCATATTTACATAGGTAAAACCCCTTTGTGTATTATAAGCCGCTCCTACCGACCGGCTTTTGCAGGCAAGGCCTATACACATATACGGCCTCCAAAAAACAAACCCCCATACTGTATATTGCAAGGGGACCTCTCCCTGACTTACTAACAGGCAGAGTAACAGTGCCCTCTCCTTTACAGGACGACACGTGTAATGATATGTCGGACTTACCGCAACAGATGCAGGACTTCCAGTCCATTATCAGCGCCGTGGTGGCGCCCTCCATGGAAAAGGTCATATCTAAGATGCTGACACAACTCCCTCCAGATAACAGCTCTAGGGGTATCCTACTTCAAGAGCCGGAAGAAGCATTGGGCTCAGAGCTTTCCACAAAGGACCTCCCGCCCCTGCCTAAGCGGCACAAGAAGGGCACCACGGGGCCATGACCTAAGGGGAAGGAACCATTCAAGAGCTCCAAGCAGCCGGCAACAGCCAAACCCTTCTCCCCAATGCCCTCCTCGGACGAGGAGGAGGATTACCAACCAGAGTCCCATGACATCCTGGATGGAGAGCAGAAGATTCCAACTTGGAGCAAGAGGGCAAATGGCAGGATGCACCACCTTCACTCCACAGAGAGTCCTTTGGGCAAGATCCTGTATGTCGTGGACCTTGCCATTGCCCAAGGCACACTGCTCAACCCGAGCGCGATCTTGGAATTGGCCCAGAGGTGCAAATGTCTGCTGGGTAATATAAACACTGCCCTATGCACAGAAAGACGCAGGGCTGCCCTCCTGTGCATCGACACCAATTTGATGATCATGGCCTCCAAAGAACTAGGCCCAACGGGCAACTGCCTCCTGTTTGGAGATTCATTTATTGCCAAGTTAAAAAAGCATGTGTCATTGTTCACTACCCTTAACAAAGCACAGTCATCAATGCGGCAAGTGTTCCGCCAACCTCAAGGGAGAGGTGTTTTTGGGCAGGCATGATCGGCAGCGGGGCTGGCCACCAGCCACTTCTGGTCTACTGGTTCCAGATCCAATACTCCATCATCGTCCTTCTACCCATACTCAGCGCCAAGGGTTACATCCTTCCATAGAGGTGCGACCAGACCCAGAGGCTCTAGAGGCAGAGGCCATGGACAATTTACCACAGGTGAGTACCTTTGTATGTTACCAACCAAATGCTTTCACTGCAGGCAGACTGTCCATTAGTTTTTTTTGCAGAAATGGGAAGAAATCTCCACGGATGCATGTATTTTACAGACTGTGAGGGGTTGTGTAATCGACTTCATTGCTCCTCCACGCCAACCCCACCCTCCACCACCACTTTGGGTTTCTGCGGAATACGTTGCCTTAATAAACAACGAAATTCGGACTCTGGTCTCCAAAGGCGCGGTGCAGTACGCCAGAGACAAAGGCTTTTTATTCAGCAATATCTTTCTGGTTCAGAAAAAGACCGGAGATTTCTGCCCTGTCATCAATTTGAGACATCTCAATTCCTTCGTAGTGCATCAATAAATGGTAAGGATTCATCTGTTGCGAGATCTTCCAATAGAAGGTGACTGGTTCACCCGGTTTGACCTAAAGGACATGTATCTGGTCCTGGTAGAGCCTTCCTGTTTCAGGGTTCTACGATTCTGTTGGCAAAGTTGGTTGGGCCAGTTCACCTGCCTCTCCTTTGGGGCTCTGCTCGGCTCCCTGGTGCTTCACGAAGCTCCTGAAACCAATTATGGCACGTCTAACATCTCGGGGAGTAAGATGCATCATCAATCTAGATGACTTACTGATTTTTTTGCGACTCAGTTTTGCGACTGTGATCTCACCCGAACTTTGTTGTGAACTTCATCGAATCCTTAGGCTTCGTTGTCAACCAAGAAAAATTGGTGTTGAAACCCACTCAAGTAGTCCAGTTCCTGGGGTTCGAGATAGACTCGTGTTCTACGACTGCCTCTCATGAAAATCAAAGCCATTCAGAAAGTCCTTTGAAGGGAACATGTTCCCCTACACCTGTTGGCTCGAGTCGTGGTCCTCCTGTCGGCTTCCATCCAGGCGATCTACCCGGGACCCCTACACTTCCGTGCCATGCAGAGACTGAAAGCTCGCTATGTATGCTCCAGACTCTCGTTCGACCAAGAGGTGGCATCAAAATGTTTCCCTGGTGCTATGATAGCACTGGGAAACATATTTGCTGTGACCTGGCCCCTGTAGTTTTGGCAGGCTGGAGAAAGTGACAGCCTGTCACTTCCGCCCAGCTTTGTGCAGAGAGGCAGTGCGGGAGGCAAAGGAGGCAGCAGAGGCACCATGAGGGGAGGGGAGAGGAGAGGAGGAGGAGCATGAAGACCCCTCACTCACACCAGCCAGCAGCAGGAACAGAACTACATGCAAGCCACCCTCATGGACACAAAAGGTAAGCTAACAGGAGGGTGGCTGTAGATATAAGAAATTATCACATATGTGTGTTTATGTGTATGTTGAATTGTTTGTGTCTGCATCATGGTGTGTGTGTGTCAGGGTGTGTATCTGTGTGTGTGTGCATCTGTGTTTGTGTGTATATAGTCTGTGTGTATATGTCAGTGTGTGTATCTCTGTGTGTGTGTATATATGTAAGTGTATGTATCTATGAGTCAGGGTGTGTGCACACATCTGTTTGTCAGTATGTACATCTGTGTATATGTATGTGTATCTGTGTGTCAGTGTATGTATCTGTGTCATGGTGTTTGCATGTGTCAGTGTGCGTGTATCTGTGTCAGGGTGTGCATTTGTGTGTATGTATATATGTTGGTGTGTGTCGGTGTCAATATGAATTTGTGTGTATGTGTCAGTGTATCTATATGTTTCTGTGTGTTAATGTTTATGTATTTATGTGTAAGGATATATGTGGTAGTGTATGTACATACATCCAAGCAATCAAACATCAACACAACATACAAACACACTGTTGCAATCTAACACAAATATTACATACAAACACACCGCTCTCATCATACTCCAAAATTCTATACAAACACACCACTTCACTTAACCACTGTCACGTATTCATCCGGTTATAAAAATGTGATTAATGAAATTTACTGTTCAGACAGGAAAAGTTGTGCCGAACAACATTACTGTCCTGACAGGAAAAGTTGTGCCGAGCAACAACCAAATCCACAGCAAGGTTTGTGCTGAGCAGCAATTATGCAAATAGAACCTGGTAACTGCCGTCAAAGGCCGATTACACCCTATTAGATCCAGAGGAGGGGTATTTAGGCCCAGTTCTCATCCTGTAGTGGTTTCCCTTGTGGTTGTCTGAGAGCGCGTTATTGTTTCTGGTATTTCTGGTTATTTGACTTTGGCATTGTTTTTGACTTCCCTGTTTTCTGGCATTCCGGACCACTGGCTTTTCCTTATCGTTGTGTCTCTTTCTGTATCCCTTGACCTCGGCTATTCCTGACTATTCTTTGGTACGTTAGTCCGGCCATTCTAAGGTCCGGTATATGTTAACTATCAGTCCTGTGTGTTACACAATTCTACGTGATGGATCATATTGTAATCCTGACAAACACCAATACTACACACAAATGTACATCCGCATTTAAAAGCCAACATTACATCCGAACACACCTTCAATCAAACGCAAACATTACATACAAACACAGTCCTGTATTAAAACACAAAAATTATATACAAGTACCTATTCAACCAAACACCAATGATATACATTATACTATAGCGCCAGTATATGCCACAGCACTGAACAGATATACAACTATACAATTCTGCTTGGAAATATATTGCTCCTTTTTTCCCTTCTGTAGTTCACTTCAATTAATCTGTGACTGGAATGAACATTTATTGACTGTCCCATAACCATCAATATTTTTTTCCCCACTTGATTGGACAGGACATGCAGTCCATATCAATGGGTTGACCTCTTGTCCATCTTGGCAAATTAAGCTGCATATTTCCTTAACCACCCTAAAAAAACTAAATAGCTTCTTCGCCATTCCATCCCACAGCCAGAACTTTGAATCATGAAACAAAACATTGGCTTGCTGTTTTTTTTGGCATCCATAAGGCAGTTTAGAGTTTCGGAATTCAGGTGAATTGTGCTTTGTTTGAAACCGAATGCTCAAGTCTAATATATAGTGCACATTCACTACTCACTATCCAGGTCATTATTTTTAGAATAAAACACCTGTACAGGAAAACATGAAAGGCTAGTTTCAACAGATACTTAACTATGTGCTATAGATACTTAATTTGCTCTTTGACACTATTCAATATCCAGGCAGAACTTCCCTGTTTAATCATTACCAGTGTATAACAGAAACTTATTCTGGTGCTCTGTTGTTAGCCTTTGGGTTTCAGTGCTCAACACAGCTGCTGCTTTCATATAGAGAGGGTGATGTATGGATGCTGTGTCACTAAAATAGTGTGGCTAATTTTACATGTCATCTATTAAGCCTAAGGTTTGAAAAACAACACAGGCTGAATGTACTTTTCTTGGTATATTGTTCTAAATTATTATGTATTATTCTGAGAGGTATGAGTCATGCAGTTAGGTTTTGGAGAGAAAATCAGCTTTCTCAAAAATAAGAAAAATAAATAAAATAAATATATATCCCAATTTCACATGCCAAGTAATCATTTCTTAAATATGTTTCCATTCTTATAATTAAAAGTGAATTCTAAAGGTTTCATTTAAAACTTTAAATGTCACAGGAGAGGAGGTGATGTGTCTAAACACTGTATGTTTCAGTGTGTGTGAGTAGGGAGGCATTCTGTGCATGTGTGTTTCTGTGTATGTGTAGGTATGCATTGTGTACATGGCCGGACTGGGGATACAAAGCAGCCCTGGAAAAAAATCTGTGCCAGCCCCATAAGTCACTGCGCCATATATTGTCGCATGTAATATGTAAGGCTATGTCTTGCCATGACAGATGATTGAGTAATATGTATATATATAAAATATTGGTCCTTTCAGGGTAAAACTTTAAATATACAGTAAGCATACTCACATGCAGAAACAGGCAATTTCACTGACATCTCAATGACACACACAAGCTCATTGATACACAGCCTCATAGACAAACAATCTCACTGATATACATCAGCTCATTGACATAAAAACACGCATGCAAGCAAGCAAGCTCACTAGCAGACGCACACACACAGCTTAATGTAGTGGTACTGGTGTCTATAGCATGTCCCTACAGGCTTTTCAACGTAAACACTGACTTTTCAGAGAAAAGGCAGTGTTTACATTGCTTCAAAGTGACACTGCTAGTGGCAGTCACTCAGACGGTCACTAGAGGTGCTTCCTGTGTCAGTGCACCTACATTCAGGGCCTCCACACTCTGTAGGTGCTGAACGTTCCCCATAGAGATACATTGATTTAATGCATTTCTATGAGGAGATGCTGATTGGAGTGGCGTTTTGCAGCTTGATGATCTCCGCTATAGAGGCAGGGCCAGTCGAGGGGAGACCAGCACGCTGCGTGGGGAAAAAAAAGGTGAGCAAAAACACTATTTAAACACACATATACACCATGACAGACACAGAAACACACATATACCATGACAGATACACACCCCATGACAGACACACGCACACCACGACAGACCATGACACAGACAGACCCACACACACACACACACACCATGACACAGACAGGCACACACCCCATGACGGACAGACACACACACACCCCATGACAGACAGACACACACCCCATGACAGACAGACACACACACCCCATGACAGACAGACACACACCTCATGACGGACAGACACACACCTCATGACGGACAGACACACACGCCATGACACAGACACACACAATGACGGACAGACAGACAGACACACACACCATGACACAGACAGACAGACACACACACCATGACGGACAGACAGACACACACCATGACACAGACAGACACACACACACCATGACAGACAGACAGATGCACACACACCATATAGATAGACACCATGACACAGACAGACAGACACAAACACACCATGACACAGACAGTCAGACACAAAGACACCATGACGGACAGACAGACACACACGCACACACACACACCATACAGACAGCACCATGACACAGACAGACAGACACACCATAACAGACAGACAAACTCACGCTGACACACATTACTAATACCTGCCAGGGGGAGGTCTTCTGGCGGCCGCTGGGGGAGGTCTGCTGGTGGCCGCTGGGGGAGGTCTGCTGGCGGCCACTGGGGGACTTGTACTGGCGGCCGCTGGGGGAGCTGCGCTGGCTCTGCTCTCCGGCCATCGCGCGCTGCTGAATGAGACCGGGGCTGGAATATGACGTCATATTCCGGCACCGGTCTCATTCAGCTGCGCGCTGGGGAGCAGAGCCAGCGCAGCTCCCCCAGCGGCCACCAGTACAAGTCCCCCAGCGGCCGCCTGCAGACCCAGGTGTCTACCCGGCCCCAGGTGCCGACTGCCCACCGGGAAATTTCCCGGTATCCCGGTGGGCCAGTCTGGCCCTGATTGTGTATGTGTGTAGTCTGAAAGAGAGGGTTTGTGGGGTAGGATAGGGGCTGAGAGGGGAGCAGCTCTTTATTTTTATTATATTTATTTTTTGTTAGTATATTTTTTTTGTATATTTTTTCTTTACGTTTTGTGTCTTACACTCCCCTTTAGTGTATCTCTTACAAGCCCCTTGTGTGTCTCTTATCCCCCCTCTTTGTATGTCTCCTACATCCTTCCAAACCCCTTTGCGTGTCTTACTCCCCCAAGCCCCTTTTTGTCTTACTCCTCCAAGCCCCTTTGTGTCTTACTCTTCCCAGCTCCTTGGTGTGTCTCTTTTCTCCCCAGGCCCCTCTATGTGTATTTCTCCTGAGCCCCTCTGTGTGTCTCTGTCTCCCCTAACCCCCTTCCCATAGTGCTCTCCCCTGCCCCCCTTCCCATGGTGCTCTCCCCTGACCCCCCTTCCCATAGTGTTCTCCCTCCCCCCCCTTCCCATAGTGTTCTCCCTCCCCCTGTCTCTTAGAGTTCCCCCCCATCTTTCCCTTAGTGGTCTCTCCTACCCTCCCTATCTTTCCTTTAGTGGTCTCTCCTCCCCCGCATCTTTCCCTTAGTGGTCTCTCCTCCCCCTCTTCCCCCCATCTTTCCCTTAGTGGTCTCTCCTTTCCCCCCACCATTCCCTTTTTGGTGTCTCCTTCCCCCCACCATTCCTTTGTGATCTCTCCTCCTCCCCCCACCTTTCCTTAGTGGCCTCTCTTCCCCTATCTTTCTCTTAGTGGTCTCATCCCCTATCATTTTCCTTGGGGTCTCTCCTCCCCCACCTTTCCCTTAGTGGTCTTTCCCCCCCCCACCTTTTCTTTAGTGTCCCCATCTTTCCCTTGAGTGGTCTCTCCTTCTCCCCAACTTTCTTTTGGTGGTCTCTCCTCCCTATCTTTCCTTAGTGGTCTCTCCCTCCCCATTGTCCCTTAGTGGTCTGTCCTCCTCCCCAAGTGTCCCTTGGTGGTCTCTCCCCAGTGTCCCTTAGTGGTCTCTCCCCCAGTGTCCCTTGGTGGTCTCTCCTCCCCCCCAGTGTCCTTAGTGGTCTCTCCCCATGCCCCTTAGTGGTCTCTCCCCCTCCAGTGTCCCTTAATGGTCTCTCCTCCTCTCCCTCCCCCCTAGTGTCCCTTAGTGCCATCTCCCATTCCTTCTCTGTTATGCCTGCTACCTCTTTGTAGCGTGGCCGGGCTGCGCGGAATGCGATACAGGAGCTTCTGTTTCTTGCACCCCCGGGCCGGTGTGCCCTAGGCGACTGCCTAAGTCGCCTATAGGACGCGCCGGCCCTGCACTTAACATAACCCCCATATTCATACCTCCCAACTCATGCATCCTGAGAAATCTGTATGGTTGGGAAGCTTGCATATTGTCTCCCTGTGCTAGACTTTAATAGCTAGAACCCTAGGCATTCTGTCAACAATAAATAAGCAGAAGCAATAGGGTTGCTTGGCAACTTTGCACAATGGCTTAGTTTAGAACATAGTGCCCTAAAATTAGATTGCATTGCACTACATATTATGATTGCTTGTAGTAGAAGTAGTGGTCTCTAATCTTTATTGTAAATTTAAATAGTAATGACTATCTGAAACACCAGCCTTATGAAGTGATGATATTTAGGGACCTCAAATTATATTTATGCATACATATGTATGTATGCATGTATGTTTGTGTTTACGTGTACACATATTCATATGCAAATGTCACACTAGTATTATAAGGCTTGACATTCGTTCACGATTTCTTAATTATACCTCAGAATACGATTACTTTACTGAAAGGGTAGTGGATACATGGAATAGCCTTCTAGCTGAAGTGGAACAGGTCAACACAGTGAAGGAGTTTAAGCATGCACGGGATATTCATAAGACTATCCTAGATATTTGATAAGACCAGGGACTAAGGAAAGTATTTAGAAAATTGGGCAGACTAGATGTACCGAATGGTTCTTATCTGCCGTCACATTCTATGTTTCTATATTTATCACCCTTTCAATGTTTGTGTAAGTGATACTGGCAATGGTTAGGCAAATAATTACCCAAACCAGTCTTACACTAGGATCAATGATCTGCCATCTGCCATTCCCACAGAGGCAAAGCAAGGGGAATATCAGGCAATCCCTGACTGCTGGTCTGTATCCCTTAATACCTGACGTCAAAGTGTCTAGATCAGAAGTTCCCAAACTGTGTTCCCGGGCACCGAGGGGCGCCTCAAAATTTTTTCCCGGTGCTAAGATAGCACTGGGAAACATTTCTGCTGAATAGGGGTCCTGTCGGGAGCCACAGCCCTTTAAGACCACGACCAGGCCCCTGTAGTGTCGGCAGGCAGGGAGGAATTGACAGCTTATCACTTCCCCCCAGCTTTGTGCAGAGAGACAGTGCAGGAGGGAGAGGAGGCAGCTCCAGAGGCAGCATTAAGGGAAGAGGAAAGGAGAGAAGGAGCATGAAGAGAAGCTCCAGACCTCTCACTCCCACCAGCCAGAAGCAGGAACAGAACTACAAGCAAGCCACCCTCCTTCACACAAGGTAAGCTAACAGGAGGGTGACTGTAGATATAAAATATTATCACATATATGTGTTTATGTGTATGCCAGGTTGTGTGTGGGTGTATGTGTGTGTGTGCCAGCATGTGTGTGTATATAGTTTGTGTGTATATGTGTCAGGGTGTGCATCTGTGTGTCAGTGTGTGTGTGTACATCTATTTGTCAGGTTGTGTATCTGTGTTTGAGTGTTTGTCAGTGTATGTATCTTTGTGTCAGTGTGTGTGCACACATCTGTGTGTCAGGATGCACATCTGTCTATATGTATGTGTATCAGTGTGTCATGGTGTTTGCGTGCGTCTGTGTTATTTTAATAGATGTAAATAGGAGTTTCTTATTCTTTTGATGCAGTTGTATTTTTACAGGTTTGACTAATTGGCCATGCTGGTTATCAACATATTTATTTTGTATTATGAATGTTTATGAAGACATGGTATGCATATTGACTTGTAAATTTCTTGCCTTAAATCTGTACAGGTGTGAACAAATTGAAACAACACCCAAAAAAGGAGTTTAACCCTGTAGTAATTAAATCACAATAACAATGGGGCTGTCAACCTTGAGTAAAGTGTGGATAACTGCCAAGGATTAGAATTTGTCACCTATACAACAGGTCTAACTACTAACAATTCTAACTAGAGGAAGTTCCAAAAAAGCCAACTTATTATTGCTGCATTTATGATCATAACAAAAAGGTATTAAATGTGTTCACACTTTGACAAACTCTAAAGCAGAACACCGACTTGGATAATTGGACACTTCAAAAAAGGACAACAGTAGTCTCAAAAAACCCAAAATTAATGGAACACCACGGAAACCAAATCTTACCAAAATCTTTATGTAGTTTCACGAACAGGGTAAGATTTACATGTCGGGTGCTTGTAGCCACAGAATTCTAAGAAGTCCCATGCAGCCCCAAAAAGACATAGCAGATGAAGTGAATTTAATTTGACTAACTGAAAAACGCAGGCATACAAACCGTCTTTAAAAAAACAAAACATTCTCATATCTGACAACTGACGCGACATTAAAACTAATAAAAGCAACATGACCATAACATATGATATCTCCATAATACATATTATGATTTACAGTGTTGCTATTATTCTTTTTAATCTTTTCATATTCTGTCTATACTTGACAGTTTTTTTTTTTGCCTGTGCTTAAATAGTGCAGGCTGCCAGCCCTGATTTCTCTGCCTGTGGCTTTAATTTCTGTTGTCCTAGAGTTCACCCATGCTTGTATTGTGTTACTCAAGGCTGGGGTTTGTGTTATTTTTATGCCAAAGTGTTGTGTTTCATATCGAGTTATAAGAAAGAACTAAATTATAGATCTGTTTTTGTTGTTGTTATTCTGAAAATACTAATTACTTTCAAAATATATATTCATATGATGATCCAATAGTAATTACACAAAATAAGAATCTTGGGTGTGAAACTGTGAATGTTTGCCACATTAGCATGCTAGGACACAATATACGTTTTAGTAATGAGCTATTCATAGTACACACCCTATGATTACAGTATCATGATGTCATATTTTAGTAATATTTACTATGGGAGTCACATTATTCAGGAATGTTTTTGGAAATCTCAAACAAAAGACAACAATAGTGTCTGATGTTGCTATGGTTATATTGATTAAATTCACTATTGTAGTGGGAAGGTGTCTCAGTGTGAGAGAATCAATTGGATCTCTCTTAGGACCTGCAAAAAAAGCAAGCTCACAATAAAAACTCAAAAATAGATTAGTAAACAAATTAATAACTGCTACAGCAACAACACAATGGAACACCCCACAGGAATAAAAACAAACATATTAGAAGTAAAAGGTTATAAATGTAATAATATAAGGAGGGACAACATTAAATAGTGATATACGTTTTGATAAAGGAAGGTACAAAAAACAGTTGGAATGAGGTACATGTTACCATATTATTATGTATTACATTTTTGGATGTATGTGTGCATTTTGCACAATTAGTTACAAAAGTCATTTCATCTGCATGCATATGTGTTCAGCAAAGTTCTCGAGGGGTTAGCAGAATTTACCTTTTGTCTCTTGCCTGTGCAATTGAGGATTGACCATTGTGTATTGTGATTCTATACATATGGTACTTTTGCAAATAATTGTCTGTATACAGAGACTCTGAAAAACACAAATTTACCATCAGCTGTTTGTTTAACTTGTATTAAACTGTTTGAGCTACACTTTGACAAAGCTAAAATGTGGATCCAAGGAAAGCATATACATACATTTTTATATTTTGATCATTGTATATCTTGATTAATGTGTTACATCTTTCCTTGGATCCTTGGATCCACATTTTAGCTATGTGGAAGTGTAGCTTGAACAGTTTAATTGAATTTAAATAAATTTGAACTTTGGTCCTCAACCGATTGTTCTTTAAAAGTGAAAACAAATGAAGGAAAATAAGAAAAATATTATATTCTGTACAAATAGAACTGCATGTTTTTCTGCTCAAAGTCTGCTTGGAGACTTTTTCCAAGTCATTCAAAAGCACAGTATTGTTGGCAATAACAATACATATATTTTTTAATATCTATCTCTTTATTAACAGTTTTATATATACAAAGAACAATATGTCACGATTCGGGGAACCAAACACGCCAACACACACACACACACAAAGTGCCGTACCGGACCTTAGAGTGGCCGGGCTAAGCACACAAAGAATAGTCAGGAAACAAGCCGAGTAAGGGGAACCAGAAGACAGAATAACGTGAAACAAGCCGAGGTCAAAGGGTAGGAGAAAGTCACAGAGTCGGATAACAAGCCAGAGAGTACGTAACCAGAAGCACAAGTTCAGAATCAATACTAACAAGCAAAGACCACAACAGGGCGAAGAGGAACAGGAAAGGTAAGTATATAAATCCAAAGGTTAATTCTGATTGGATAATTTCCAATCAGAATTAACAATCACACGTGGGAGATATCTAAACCTCCCACTGTGATTGAGGCACTGTGCCTTTAACGCCGGGTCAGGTGACTGACCCCGGCGTTGGTTAAAGTGGGCGGTCTCCCAGCGTGCAGCGTCATGCATGCTGCCGCTGGGAGACACAGAGGAAGAGGCGGACGGCACCCGTGGGAGAGAGGATGCCGCCCGCCGAGCACACGGCTGAAGGGGGACCGCGGACGGCTGGAGGGTGAGTGCCGCGAGCGGACTGCAACCTCCCCTCGCAGCCGCCCGCGGGACCCTGACACAATACATATACGATTATATAGATAACAATATGTGGAATATGTACAGATACATAATTAATTGCATTTATATGGTCAAGAGTACACAAAACACAAAATAGAATTTCTTTTCTCTACCTCGATTCTATTGGTTTAATCTTTCTACCCAGGTACACAGTATGACAAAAAATAAATAAAAAAGAGGAAGCAAATATACATTCATTCAATAACATAATTATTTATTGTCTCTGGTATCTCAGATCATGGTGTGCTCCGACTATTCTATTTTTAGAGGTTTCTGGAGTATTTACAATTGTAATAAATGTTGTTCTCGCAAGGAAGAAGTTTTGAATTTACTTTATATTGCGGATCGTTTTGACCAAATCTTATCATATAGAGCTTTTGTCGAAACATCTTTATTATAAAAGTATTTCTCTACAGATGCCTGGAATTTAATTTGAGTTTCAATCTCAGACCATAATGGAACAGTTTGTATTCTCCAATGTATTGCTAAGCATATCTTGAAGGCCAGTAATATATTTATATGAAATATGGTATGTTTGTCTGTAACAGGGAAATCTAAATGCATAAGAAAAGTTATTGTATGGGAAAATCCAATATGTCTGTAATAGTTTCTAACCTTTAATTTTTAAAGTTATCCAAATAAAAACACTGGAATTGTGGTCCTATATTTTGTTGACATCTCCAACATAGGAGTTTGAAATTTAGCTATACGAGTGGGAACCAAGTACCATATGTGAGCCAACTTATAAAACTGTTTGGGAAGGTTAATACAGTGAACTGCTTTTCTAGTCCTATTCCAAGCTTGATGCCAATTCTGTGTCGACAATAACAAATTTAAATCAGTTGCCCATTTTTGGAAAGCTTTAGGTTTGTCAATTATTTTTGTGTTAGCAAGAATATTTGAAATTTATGAAACTAGATTTTTTTCAGGGTGATATATCAATAATATCATCCCATATATTTAAGTCTGATATAAAATTTAAATAAAGAGAAATATATATAAAAAGGATAATATAAATATATAAAGGATATATATAAAAAGAATAATAGTCCAAATTTTGGTATATACTATTGATAAGTTCAAATGAGTGAGTAGTAGTAACAGTACTTGGTATATTCCTCTTTCAGGTCCCAATAAGTCTTTGGAGATAGAGAGTCCAATGAAAGACTGGATCTTCTAGTCTTTAGGAGGGTCTTGATTCGAAGGTGAACATGGAAAATATAAACCACAAAGACGATCCAATAGTGTAGACTGTTTGTTGTAAAAAAATAATAATAGTAGATAGGTAATACACTCACCTATTTTAGAGCATAGACTCGCTCTAGTGTGTTAGGCGTTCAGTGGCGTTTATCCCCCACTGGTAGGATATAGGTGAAGGTGATTTCTCGGTTGTAGAAAGGAAATAAAAACAAAATATAGTGCTCACTGAATATCAATGAGATAAGATAAATTAAAAGAATAAAAATACTCACATTTAAATGAGCAGGATAGACTGCTCAATATATTCGCATAGGTGGTATAATCCCCACCAAGGATTCTTGATCGTGAGTAGACTCCAAGTTAGTAAATGACCAGGTGACAGGAGATTTTAAAAATAAAATAAAATAAAATAAAAAGGTATATGGCAAGATTGCTATAAAAAAGCCACTATTCCTTTATTAGTACAATAAAAAGTATATAAAATAGCCAAAACGCGTTTCGCCACACAGGGCTTTATCAACTGGCAATATTAAAAATCAACCTGGTACATAGATACTTATATAACCTTTGATAAAACATGCTTATTCAAATTTTGGCGCCAAAATGACGTCATCAATACAATGTGTAAAAAGCAGAATCATAAAAACATAAAAATACAGAATGCATGATGTTTGTAATACAATATATGGAATAATCCTTGTTGTTTAATAAAAAAACGAGTATTAGAAATTAAAATAGACGGTAAAATAAAAAGAAATAAAAAATCATGTGATCGCAATCTAATGCGATCACATGGTGGGCACTAGAGCAATATGGGAAATGTAGTATCATAGGGGGAAGCGAAGGAGTTTCCCCCTATGATACTGTTTTTGCCATTTCCTTTTTGAGGCCTTTAGAGGGAACCTCATAATTATAGGTTGCAGCTCTCTACTTGACCATATCACGCAGCGCTGATCCGTTCTCTACCTGATATAAAATTTACTTGGAAAATATTTTGATCCTCATATAGTTAAATAATTATTTTGTAGGTAAACTAAATATTCTCACAACATCAGGAAATAACATAATTTGATCTAAATTAAATAAATCTCCCAGCCTGTTAATGCCTACTGCTTTCCATGGTCTTAAATCTAAATCTGTGATATATAGGGATACAAGTTTGATAGGAGTATGTTTAGTAAAAATGTTATTACAGTTATATCTCTTTCTAATTTTATGTGCTGATGATATAATGTTCTTTATTAAATGACCCTCGATTTGCATTTTTTTTAAAAATAGATTGGGAGAGGGCCAGCATAATAAGTATGGTTTACAAATTCCTATTTTTAATTTTTCAATATTGTACCAACCTAGATTAGTCTCCTTCCTTCTCTTCCAAGCTAGCATATGGAAGAGTTGGAAT